TTTATCTGTCCTGCTTTTGTTCATTCTTCAATGCTGCTAATTCTGAGCTCATAAATACAAATGCGCCACTAGTCTGCCATCTTACCTACCCAATTTTTGCTTACAATCATCAACCAACCATGGCGTAGTCAATTTATCTATGCATAAGGCTGACTTATTTCTAACTTATAACTTTAAATGCACCTTTTCTTCAATGAGTCAAGTGCGAGCAATGGGCCAGGGAATACTGGATTTATTTTCATCGGAATATGTTTTCATCACACGAAAGTTTCACCAAGACCCGTTACATTGAGAAGAGCTCCCGTTTATGTAGCCATTTCGTTTTCTCGGCATTGCTTTAAAACTTTCCCTATATGAAAATGAAATTTGTCTGATATGTAGCTTTGGTTTTATTGAAACACAGCACAACAAACCACCGCGGTATAAAAACATGTGTCAGGAATGAGAATTGTGTCAATCATTGTTCTGCTGCTGGTTCTTCTAACAACAGTGAGATTAAAGAGATGAAAGAAATGCCTAAGGATAACGAAAAAGGATACATTAAGGGTGAAAAATGTCGAAATGGAGATAAATGATACTGGGCAAGTTAGTGAAAATATTAACGAGGGGATGCGTATTCCAAATAATTAATTAAGGTTATTTGAAAAGTAAAAATGCAAAGTGGGCCATGATGAGTCAGTCTTACATGGAAGAAGAAAAGGCGAAGGAGGTGGTGATAAATGCGAAATGGATGTATCAGTAGACATAGTACAGGGGCTGTCTCCTATGAAAGGCAAGCACAGACAATCTTAGCCAAGATTAAGGCAATGAAAATCGCAGAATAGGCATCAGAAAACATCACTTTACAAAAATATATCCCCATAAAATTGCCTAAACAAACCTAAGCCACGCTGTTTCTTTGAAAAACAGAGCACAACTAAGGCGCGAAAGAGAAGAGAGGGGGTGATGAGATAGGCTAGCAGGCTCGTGGAGAGTTGCATTTGTGCCACAAGGGAGGGAGGGAGGGCTAAGAGGCGCACCTTAAATAGCAACCCTCATGATTTACGTCTCTGAGATTCTATGTATCCCGTTATTCTCCACAAATAATGTAGTGTGGCACCGTACCACACTACGACAAAGTTCGAGTATGATGCAATGCATTATGTTTGTTTTACTGCTGCTACTGGTAGAACCATCGTCATGGGTGATGTATTTCACTCCTGCTTCCACCACTCCTCCTCCTCTTCAACTTGCCAAATTTTTTTGCGAAAGCGAAGGGCGACGTGTGTCGTTCCATAGAGAAGGGAGCTCAGCTGAGCAGAGGAGGAAATATGTGACGTGACGGGTGAGGTAATGAGCTAAATAAAGGTGAGATAGGGCAGGTCCGCATGTGAGTAAGGAGCACTGTGGCTACGAGGGTGATAAGGGTGGGCTAATAGGAGCTTGAGAATTACCAATTGAATTGTGGTCAAAGGAAATCGACTAGGCGGGGTTGAGGAGAGGGCAAGACAGACAAATGTCAAGCATACGAAACGTCATCAGTGGGTCGGATGAGAGGGTGAAGGGAACCTAACCCCCGCAAAATCGCACAGTGCTGGCAGTCACATCTCCGCGCACCCATGCACGCGCACACACGCACACATAAGCACACACCCCAAGTGGGATTGGAACCGACGGAAGAGGTAAGGCAACTGCTTTAACATCGATATAGGTGAGGTAAGAGGGGTAATTCACATACTTCAACTTGCTTAATTAGGAGCAGATTTTTAAACAGTCAAACGAATTCACAAAGCACATGTGCAAAGTACACAGGCAGTCCCTACGCCAATATTTCCTTTTACTTCAAATATGCATTTGTTACATGAACTTAAAGCCATCTACCGCTAACTGAATGAGTGAATTCTATCACTGACCCTACCAGTGATCACGGCCAGGTTCTAGATAAAATCTAGCAGAATTTGCTTTCTCGCTTTTCCTCAAAGATATGCAGGCCGTAATTGAAACCGAGTGTCTACACTGTTCGTTAATGATATATTCCACTGTCAATGTAGACACTTGTGAGGCAAGCTGGCTAGCTTATCATTCAAATCAACTGGTGCAGATGTGTGCGTACAGGTGGGCAGTGGGGTTTGTACGCAGATCAAATTTTGTCACACACTCGTTAATGCTGGTTCTGGGTGCTACTAGATTGCAACTGTGGCTGTGCACATGCATACATCAGTCATTTCAAGCTGATCCGTAGTGGAGACATTTTGTTGTCGGCCACTCTTTGCACTGATTTTTATTTGTATGAGCACATACGCTACTGAATTTATCTATGCATAAGGCTGACTTATTTCTAACTTATAACTTTAAATGCACCTTTTCTTCAATGAGTCAAGTGCGAGCAATGGGCCAGGGAATACTGGATTTATTTTCATCGGAATATGTTTTCATCACACGAAAGTTTCACCAAGACCCGTTACATTGAGAAGAGCTCCCGTTTATGTAGCCATTTCGTTTTCTCGGCATTGCTTTAAAACTTTCCCTATATGAAAATGAAATTTGTCTGATATGTAGCTTTGGTTTTATTGAAACACAGCACAACAAACCACCGCGGTATAAAAACATGTGTCAGGAATGAGAATTGTGTCAATCATTGTTCTGCTGCTGGTTCTTCTAACAACAGTGAGATTAAAGAGATGAAAGAAATGCCTAAGGATAACGAAAAAGGATACATTAAGGGTGAAAAATGTCGAAATGGAGATAAATGATACTGGGCAAGTTAGTGAAAATATTAACGAGGGGATGCGTATTCCAAATAATTAATTAAGGTTATTTGAAAAGTAAAAATGCAAAGTGGGCCATGATGAGTCAGTCTTACATGGAAGAAGAAAAGGCGAAGGAGGTGGTGATAAATGCGAAATGGATGTATCAGTAGACATAGTACAGGGGCTGTCTCCTATGAAAGGCAAGCACAGACAATCTTAGCCAAGATTAAGGCAATGAAAATCGCAGAATAGGCATCAGAAAACATCACTTTACAAAAATATATCCCCATAAAATTGCCTAAACAAACCTAAGCCACGCTGTTTCTTTGAAAAACAGAGCACAACTAAGGCGCGAAAGAGAAGAGAGGGGGTGATGAGATAGGCTAGCAGGCTCGTGGAGAGTTGCATTTGTGCCACAAGGGAGGGAGGGAGGGCTAAGAGGCGCACCTTAAATAGCAACCCTCATGATTTACGTCTCTGAGATTCTATGTATCCCGTTATTCTCCACAAATAATGTAGTGTGGCACCGTACCACACTACGACAAAGTTCGAGTATGATGCAATGCATTATGTTTGTTTTACTGCTGCTACTGGTAGAACCATCGTCATGGGTGATGTATTTCACTCCTGCTTCCACCACTCCTCCTCCTCTTCAACTTGCCAAATTTTTTTGCGAAAGCGAAGGGCGACGTGTGTCGTTCCATAGAGAAGGGAGCTCAGCTGAGCAGAGGAGGAAATATGTGACGTGACGGGTGAGGTAATGAGCTAAATAAAGGTGAGATAGGGCAGGTCCGCATGTGAGTAAGGAGCACTGTGGCTACGAGGGTGATAAGGGTGGGCTAATAGGAGCTTGAGAATTACCAATTGAATTGTGGTCAAAGGAAATCGACTAGGCGGGGTTGAGGAGAGGGCAAGACAGACAAATGTCAAGCATACGAAACGTCATCAGTGGGTCGGATGAGAGGGTGAAGGGAACCTAACCCCCGCAAAATCGCACAGTGCTGGCAGTCACATCTCCGCGCACCCATGCACGCGCACACACGCACACATAAGCACACACCCCAAGTGGGATTGGAACCGACGGAAGAGGTAAGGCAACTGCTTTAACATCGATATAGGTGAGGTAAGAGGGGTAATTCACATACTTCAACTTGCTTAATTAGGAGCAGATTTTTAAACAGTCAAACGAATTCACAAAGCACATGTGCAAAGTACACAGGCAGTCCCTACGCCAATATTTCCTTTTACTTCAAATATGCATTTGTTACATGAACTTAAAGCCATCTACCGCTAACTGAATGAGTGAATTCTATCACTGACCCTACCAGTGATCACGGCCAGGTTCTAGATAAAATCTAGCAGAATTTGCTTTCTCGCTTTTCCTCAAAGATATGCAGGCCGTAATTGAAACCGAGTGTCTACACTGTTCGTTAATGATATATTCCACTGTCAATGTAGACACTTGTGAGGCAAGCTGGCTAGCTTATCATTCAAATCAACTGGTGCAGATGTGTGCGTACAGGTGGGCAGTGGGGTTTGTACGCAGATCAAATTTTGTCACACACTCGTTAATGCTGGTTCTGGGTGCTACTAGATTGCAACTGTGGCTGTGCACATGCATACATCAGTCATTTCAAGCTGATCCGTAGTGGAGACATTTTGTTGTCGGCCACTCTTTGCACTGATTTTTATTTGTATGAGCACATACGCTACTG